CCTAGTCATTGAGGGGCTGGGCATTGTCCTTTAGCTTTCCCATCGAGGTTGGTTATAGCACTTGAGCCACAGCTCCACTTACAATATAATTTTTGGTCAGTCATGGAGCTTGAACTCAAGGCCTGGGTGCTGTCCTGAGCTGTTCCTCTGGAGGCTAGTGCTCTACCATTTTAAGCTATAGCACCACTTTCAGTTTTCTGGTAGTTCGTTGGAGCTAAGAGTCTCAAGAACATTCTTGCCTGGGCTGGCTTTGAACCACAATCCTCAGCTTTCAGCCCCTTAAGTAGCTAGAATGGACAGCTAGTGTGAGCCATGGACAATCTGGCTAACTGTTTGTTCTTGATTTTCCTCATCTCTGAATGAGATCTGATAACCCTTTTTGCTTTCCTGGGCCCCCACACAGGATATTTGAGGATGATGGGGGAGTGCATGTAGTTGATCGCAGAGTAGATCCAAGAGGAACTTCCCAGCTGAAGAAAGGCATTAATGAGGCTGTAGCTCAGAGGGGGCTGGCCTATGCAGCTGTCCCCTTTGCTGTGAGTTGTGGCCTAGTGGCCAGCGCTGGTCACTCACCAATGGAAAAGGGAACAAAAGCATCACTCTTCTTAAACTGTCCTTTGTCATCCAGGAAGTGGTGAGGGTTGAAATCCTGGGGGTTGGAGAAGAACTTGGGGTCTCTCAGCACAGAGCCCAGCATGGGGAACACTTCCGTACCCTGAAAAGAAGAGGAGCAGGGAGAGTGAGATATGCAGATGGAAAAATGAATGTGCTGAAACTCCCCTTGGACAATGGTAGGAGGGGCCAGGAAGTGGAACTGTGGGAGTGGAGGGTGGAAGGAAGAGCTTCAGGGGACATGAAGTTAAGGTCCCTGAGGGTGTGTAGAAGCTCCCGTTCAATGACACCAGCTGGTTGATGGACACAGGTTTGAGGCTTTCTGATGCCAGAGATTGGGAGATCTGCAGCTCCCATCTCTCCAGGCAGGTGGTTGCAGGCGGAGTGGGGGGGAGGGGCAGGAGACTTGGCAGTTAGATGTGCCAGGGCCATGAGATATGGGGCCCTTGAGAAGGATGCATTGCAAACTGGAGATTCCTGTTCTTAAGCAAGAGGTCTGGGTAAAGAAGATTGAACCACCCCGCCCTCCGTGCGTGTGTTTATGTGTGTGTGTATGTGTATCTGTGTGTGCTTGAAATCAGGGCCTGGGCAATGTCCCTGACCTGTTTTTTGCTTTGAGCCCACAGCTCCACTTTCAACATTTTTGGTGGTTAATTCCAAATAAGAGTCTCCTGGACTTTCCTGTCTGGGCTGGCTTCAAACCTTGATCCTTAGATCTCAGCCTCCTGAATAGTTAGGATGACAAGGCCTGAGTCACAAGAGTCTGGATTTCCCTCTCTCTCCCATCCCCCCCTCTCTCTAATTGTGGGTTTGGAACTCAGGGCCTGGGTGCTGTCCCTGGACCTCTTTGTGCTCAAAGCAAGTGCTCTACCACGTGAGCCACAATGCTACTTCCAGGTTTGGGGGAGTTTATTGGAGATAAGTGTCTCATGGGGATTTTTGTGCCAGACCACCTTGGAACTGTGATCCTCAGATCTCAGCCTCCTTAGCAGTTAGGATTACAGGTGTGAGCCACCAGCACCTGGCGTCATCTCTTGATTTAAGAAGGCCAGGCTTGGATCTCTTGAGCAGGGGAAGTTGGGGGCGAGGTGGGGTTTCAGGAAGCTAGGATACAGAAGTCTCTCAGTAGGAAAGAAGGGACAGGATGGGTGAGGGAGTCTTTGATTAAGATGGGAAGCCAGGGAGTCCTGCCTGTTAGGGATTTGGGGCGCCAGGATCCCAGGGGCGGGCAAGTGGCACCTTGGGCAGGAAGAACTCCCGGAACTTGGTGTCCTTGGTGACCCTGCGGGCCAGCCCCATGGGGATCATATCTGCAAATCTCTGGATCTCATGAATCACAGCCTCTGTGTAGGGCATCTTCAGTCGATCCTCAAACTTGGGGGGCCGGTTTTTGCCAATGACCTGATCAATCTCTTCATGGATTTTGGCTGGGGATGGGGAGAGAAAGGGAAATATGTTTAGATATCTGAAAGCTTCAAGGCAGGGATGAGAGTCAAAAAAAAAAAACAAACAAACAAAGAAGAAAAGATCCAGGCACTGGTGGTTCACACCTGCTATCCTAGTTACTCAGGAGGCTGTGATCTAAGGATCAGGGTTCAAAGCCAGCCTGGCAAGCAAGTTCATGAGACTCTTATCTCCAATAAGCCACCAGAAAACCAGAAGTGGTGCTGTGGCTCTAGCCTTGAGGGAAAAAACTCAGGGACAATGCCCAGGTCCTGAGCTTAAGCCCCATAACCCACAAAAATGGAAAGAAAGGAAGAAAGAAAAGGAAGCAAGGAAGGAAGGAAGGAAG